AAACAAAATATGGGAAAGGGAAAAAATACTCCCCTATTTGGGCATCCTTGGACTGGTGTTGCTAATGGACGAGACAAAGTCACTCGAACAATATAGTGCCAGTTACTGGCAGCAACATCTAGGAAAAAATTGCTGATGCAGCAGTTAATGCCGTGGCATTTCTTGCAGAGAAAAAGATAAAAGAAATGAAATGACAAGAAAAATGTAAACTAAGCTAATGTCGAAATTGACTTATTGAAAGCATGGAAATAAAATTAAAGAGATGCAAATTCTCTTAGGGAAATGGAAGCATTATGTTGAGGTTGTTCGTTGCCATAATGCTTTAAACGTTGTCCATTGATTTTTAACGTGCTCCCATCCACGAAGTTCTTTATTAACACGAATCTGCGAGGATAAACTTCAACGATTTCAAATGGCCCAGACCAACAAAACCTTAGCTTCCTCATAAATAACTTCAATAGAGAATTAAACAACAACAAAAGTTGTCCACCATGAAATTATCATGGAAAAATGTGTTTGTCATGCCATTTCTTTCTCTTGTCTGTGTATATTATGTCACTTTCACAAGCATCATTGCGTAGCTCTTCAAGTTCATTCAAGTCTAGCATTCTCTTCTCGCTATCAAGATCGAGGTCAAAATTCAACCTTTCAAGAGCCCACATTGCTTATGCTCCAGCTCCACGGGCAGATGGCAAGCTTTGCCATAAACAAGGTGAAATAGAGACATGCCAAATGGGGTTTTGTATTCTGTCCTATACGCCTACAATTCTTTATCTAAGCTAAAAACCAATCTTTCTTAGAAGGGTTCGCAATCTTCTCCAAGATTTGCTTAATTTCCCGATTGGAGACTTCAACTTGACCATTAGATTGGGGATGATATACTGTAGCAATACGATGCTTCACTCCATATCGTTGCAAGGAATTAGCAACTTGCTTGCATTTGAATTGGGAACCTTCATCACTAATGAATTCTCTTGGCGTGCCAAAGTGAGTAAATATATTCTCGTGAAGAAATTTCAAAACTGATTTAGCACCACTTGAAGGTAATGCTACAGCTTCAACCCTCTTAGATAAAGTTGACAATAACTAGGATATAAAGATTACCATATGATTATGGACACGGTCCCATGAAACCTAAAACCCAAACATCAAATAGCTCGATCTCCAATATAAGTTGCATTGGGATTTCATTGCGACAAGAAATGTTGTCCATTTATTGGCAGCGATCACATTGCTTGAAATAATCATTAGCATCCTTGAACAACGAAGGCCAATAATAACCACATTGCAAAACTTTATCTGCTGTATGCATTCCCCCAGAGTGGCCACCATAGGGTGCATTGTGGCAATGATACAAAATGCTTTGCTATTCACATTTGGGAATACACATTCTTAGAATTTGGTTATTGCATTGCTTGAAAAGGTAAGACTCCTCCAAATGATATTCTCTTACATGTCTCAAGAATTTCTTTCTTTCTTGGTAATTCAAATCTGGTGGCAGCAATCCACTTACTAGACAATTCAAAAAATCAATGTACCAAGGTAATATCTCAATAGCAATAAGTATTTCATCTAGAAAATAATCTTCAATCAAAAATTTGTTTTCATCCTCACTCCCCGGCTCTAACCGAGACAAATGGTCAACTACTTGGTTCTCAGTTCCTTTCTTGTCTTTAATCTCTATATTGAACTCTCGCAACAACAACACCCATCACATCAACCTTGGCTTGGTGTCATTCTATGCAAACAAGTGTTTCATTATTGAATGGTCCGTGTAAATAATCACCTTTATCCCTATAAGATAAGATCAAAATTTGTCAAAGGCAAAAATAACAGTAAGCAATTATTTCTCGGTTGTTATATAATTGGTCTATACAATATTCAAGGTTCTGACACATAATGTATGGCATGTAAGACCTTGTTTTTCCATTACCCCAGTTCTGCACTAACAACATGAACACTTGCGTCACACATTAACTCAAAAAGAAAGTTTCAGTTAAATGTGACTCCAATAGGAGAATTTACCAACTTCAGTTTGATTGTCTCAAAGGACTCAAGGGCTTCATCATCAAACATAAATTTCTTGTTTTGCTCAAACAATGAGCAAAGTGGTCTAACAATCTTCGAAAATTCTTTTACAAACCTCTAGTAAAAGCCAATATGCCCATGAAAACTTCTTACTCCTTTGGAATTGGTGGAAGATGGTAATTTTTCAATGACTTCCACTTTATGCCATGATATGAAATATGATACCCCAACAATATGCCTTTGATCACCATAAAATTACATTTCTCCCATTGAGCATAAGATTTTTTTTTTGCATCACTTTAAAACTACAACTAAGTTGGCAAGGCACTGGTCTAAGCTCTAGCCAAAGACAGAAAAATCATCCATGAATACTTCAAGGAAGTTATCAACCATGTCAGAGAATATTGCCATCCTGCAACACTGGAATATTGTTGGAGCAATGCACAAGCCAAATGGCATTGTTCTAAATGCAAAAGTACTATATTAACAAGTAAAAATACTATTCTCTTGATCTTTAGGAGCTATGGATATTTGATTGTAGAAGCTATACCCATCCATGAAACAATAAAAAGCTTTTTCGACAAGACGATCCAACATTTGTATGATAAACGGTAATGGGAAATGGTCTTTCCTCATATACTTTATTGTTCAGGCCGTGAGGTTTCTTATCGACACTAACTCATTCATGTCATTGTTAACCACAATAATGTCGGCTTTCTTTGGAACGCACTACACATGGCTTACCCAATTGATGTTCGAAATAGGGTATATAATGCCAGCATCCAACCATTTAATGGTTTCCTTTCTAATAACTTTATACAATATCAGATTCAGTCTTCTCTGATGCTCAGTGAAACTGTTATTAGGATCCTCCAGAAAGATTTTGAGCATACAAAATGCTGGACTAATTCCTTTATATATGTGATGCTCCAAGCAATTGTTCGCTTATACTGCTTCAGAACAATAATCAATTTTTCTTCCTGCGATGCTTCAACATGTGATGCGACAATGACTGACAGGGTGTCCTTATTACCTAGGAACATACTTTAGATGTTTAGGAAAGGCTTTAATTTATGTATTGGTGTCTCCTCAACAAACAACTTAGGAGCTTGAATAAGTTGGTCAGGAATTTCTAGAGACTCAAAATATTGTGTGTAATTGCCTTCAAATTCCTTGGCCTTACAATTGCCATAACATTACTAGTAACAACGACCATGATGTAGCATTCATCCCAGTGCTCCTGCATGAAAACATCAATAGCGTCAATTGAGTAGCATTCAACACCATCATCAACATTAGAAACATTATTTAAAACATTGAAAGTAATGTGTTCATCATTCAAACGCATAGTAAGTTCATCTTTTTCCACTTTGATCAATGCTCAGTCGGTAACAAGAAATGGGTGGCCAAGAAGAATAGGGAAATCCTTGTCAGTTTCGCAATCCAATATGATGAAGTCTGTGGGAAAAATGAATTTATCTACTCACACAAGCATGTTATCTATAATGCCGCTTGGATGTGCGGTGGATCGATCAGTGAGTTGCAAAGTTATGGTTATAGGCCATACTTCTCCACTATTCAGTTTTCTAAAAATTGATAATGACATTATATTAATGCTAGCACCCAAATCACATAAAGTTTTACCTAGAAATTGATTACCAATAATACAGGGAATAGTGAAACTCCTAGATATTTGAGTTTTGATGCCAATCAACTTGTATCCATAGCATTGCATCCCTCGGTGAGTGCATCAGTCTCGAATTAACCAAGCCTTCTCTTCTTGGAGATAAATTCCTTTATAAACTTGATCTAATTTGGGTTTTAATCCAAAGCATCAATCAATAGAATGTTGATGGTTAGTTGCTTGAGCACTTCAATGAATGTTTGGTATTGTTGATCCCCTTTAGTGTTCTTGAATCTTTGAGAAAAAGGTGGCAGAGGAATTTGATTGATTTTTCTGGGCATTGGAAGTGGCGCTGCATCTGGTAGTGTACTCAATATTGCTGTTGGCATTGATCCATGTTTACTACACTGACATGAGTCTATTTTTGTGACACCATCGATGGCCTTTTCAAAATCGACTTCCATGTTCTGGCCTTTTTCATGCTTTGTAGCCTCTTCTTTAATATTCCTATTATGATTCTTAATAGGTGTCTCCATATGGAGACCACTTCGAGTAGTAATGTCCCTGCAATGCTTATTGCATTGAGCTTTCCCATGCTACTTTGGGTTTTCCGTATCGCTAGAAAACACTCCTTACTGCCTATTACTCAAAGCATTCGCTTTCTGTCCAACTTGGTTCTCTAAAGTTGTTAGCGATGCTGGCTGGCTCGCCATGTACTCATTCATTTAGGCTTCAAGGGATATAAGATTAGTGAATTACTTCAGTCTGTCCTTGATGACTTAGTCATGGTTTTGTAGCTTGTTACTGTGTCTGATGTTGAGGCATTGGCTGTTACTGATTCTAGTGTTGTGGCTGAATGTATTGCTACTGTTGTATATTGGAACCATTTTGATTTTGCCAAGATAAGTTGGGATGGATGCGAAAGTTCGAATTGTAGGTGTTCCCAAAAGAATTGGTATTGTCATTCATGTTGTAATTTCTCAAAAAATGCACAGACTCAGGGCTCTATGGATATTCTTCAAAATTATGGTTATCACTATAATAAACATAATTGACAAGAGATGTAGCTTTTATTTCATACCTACCTCTACGCTTTTGCATTTTCTTCATCATTTTAGTCAATGCTATCACCTGTGTGTCGGTGTGTTCAAAGCATCATTGTCCACTACTGCAGCAACGCGTGTGCCAAACATGTCCTCGTGTTGGGATACTGATGATCATTGTTTGATATTTTTTCCAAAATATCATATGCCTCATCCAATAATGCACCATTTGTTGAAGCATCAACCACCATTTGAGTGTGTATGTCATCCCATTATAGAACATTTCCATTTGTGTCTAATGCAGAAATCCATGTATTGGGCATTTGTACAGCATTTCTTTAAAATGTTCCCAAGCCTCCTACAAACTTTCATATTCTAACTGCTTGAATGATGTGAGATCATTCCTCAGCTTGGGATTCATATATATTAGGTGGGTTGAATCGCAACAAGAATTTTTATGCTAGCTCATTCCAGGATACTATAGCACCAGGGGGCAGCGATGTTAACCAAGCTCTAGCTTTGTCTCGCAACGAATAAGGGAAAAGCTTCAGTTTTAGTGTTTCCTCATGAACCCCTTGTTGAACAACTGAATCACAAACCTCCATAAATGTTCGAATGTGTGCTCTAGGATCTTCGATAAATGCTTCACTATATTGCCCATTGGACTGCAACATTTGAAACATCACCGGTTTCAACTCAAAATTAGCAGATTATATTGTTGGTTGCACAATGCCAGGATGTAAATCGTTGAGTATTGGCACCATGTGCTTCGTATAGACCGATTTCAGCCATCTATGTTGTAATAATGTTACTGGTTGTTTCTAACTCCAGCTGGTATCTCTTCGTTATTTCCATGCTGGAGTAGGAATAAAGCATTATTATCGTTTCTAACATTCATGTTTTCTTGATTTCTTACAGCTTCTCTTCGATGGCGTTGAAGTGTTCATTCTATTTTTGGATCGGAAGGTTCTAACTCATCGTCACTCTAGGATAAACCAACAAAACAAACAAAGATAAGTAACTACAAAAAGAAAAAAAATAAGTAAATAAAATAAACTTTAATGTAAAACCGATGCTCCTCGACAACTGTGCCAAAACACTTGATGCTACATAAGATGCTATAGCATTCATGCAAGTATACGTGTGGTTCAAGTAATAAAGTGGAAGATAAGAAAGCTTCGGATGTCGAATCCACAGAGCGTAAAACATATTACAATAGAGTTGTGCGAAATATTTCAAAGGATGTATGGTAGAGTGATGGAATAAGAAGTAAACAACAAATTATAGAAATCAGAATAGTAAATATCAGGCAGTGATACAACATTCGAGGGAGCAAACGATTAAAGATTCAGTGGATGTGAGTGTTATTTAGTCATTTCCACTTTTTATATGCTTAAAATAGTGCATTCATGTTTCTAACAATGATTAACAACATTCATTTAGCATGATAGGAAGTTAAAGACATTCCAACTCTTTTTCCCGTCTACATATCCTGCTCCGCTGCTAGAGTCTCCTCTTGAGCTCTTTCAATGGCCTTAGCTTGGTTTATAACTTCTTGCAAGCTAGGTAAGTTTAAAGCCAACAATATCTCTTTCAAATTTGGCCTCAAACCCTCGATGAACCAATCACATTGAGCCTTATCATTGGAAACTACCTTAGTAGCAAAATGACTCAGCGTATTGTACTCAGCCTCGTACTCAAGTAATGCTCGATCGCCTTGTTTCAGATTAATAAAATTCAACAACATCGCCCGCATAAACTACTTCCCGATATACTTTTTCTTGAATTCATCCTGAAAGAATTGCCAGGTCACTTGCTCAGGTGGTGCATACATCTTAGTTTTTGTCCATCACACTTGAGCTGATCCTCGAAGTAAATATATAACTCCACCTAGATTTTCAGAATCTGAGCATTGAATACTTTCCAACATCACCATAACGTCATTTAACCATAAATCAGCATCCAACGAACCTTCATCCTCTTCTACCCGGAACTCAGGAGCTCCCAAAGTTCTCAACTCTTTTGGGATTAACATTCGCTGTGCTAGAGGAGTAGGGGGAGGCGGAGGAGGTTGAAACTGAGTCAGGATGTCATCGACAACTTGCATTAAAGCTCCAAACTGTGGCACTGACATACCCTGATGTGCCGGTGCGCTAGCATTTTCTGATGAAATCAGATGCTTACTATTAGCTTCTTAGCTCTCGCTACCCGACCCTTCTCTGTTTTCTTGATCAGCCGCTCTCTGCAAATTCGTTGAATCTGACATCTAAGAGAACATACATAATGATAACACTTAAGTTAGTAAGGAGTGACATTAATCATATTCTAACTACACCATATCACTAACCATGACATCTTAGTTCCATGTAAACCCCTTTTTTTTTACAGTAAAATACACATGGTCTTGGCCGAGAATCCGCTAAACCTATAGCTCTGATATCAATAAATGTATCACTCATTTCCCGTATACGTTTTCGTACACAAGTCACAAATATCACATAACTTTTAAAACTTTCTGCTTTTAAAAAACCAGTAAAATTTTGTTTCAAATCATAAAACATTTTAATTTAACAATAATAATAAAACATTCATTAACTTTTAGTATGTAAACAAATCTTAAAGTTTAAACATATTATATTTTTACATCATCATAAGTGAAATACTTTCCAGTGCATTATCATAAGTCTATTACATGCTAGCTAATAACATCAAAAGTAGATATAGTTATCATACAGTTACTGATAAGGCGACCCTTGATTGGCGATTTCAGATGCACTCCTTACTCCGCTATAACTAATACCTATGCGTGACATCAACACACACTAAGTAATCACTTAGTGAGGCTTAATAACAATGAGATAAATTTTCTTTTCAGACATAAGTATATCATAACTATGAAAATATAAATTTGATATTTCAACTCATTATAAATTATGTGGTTTGCACACGTATTACCGATACGGTCAATCACAAACTCATTATGAATTACGTGGGTTGCACACATAGTGCCAATACGAAAATTCATAAACTTATTATGAATTTCTTAGGTTGCACACATAGTGCCAATACGAAAATTCATAACTTATTATGAATTTCTTAGGTTGCACACATAGTGCCAATACGGAAATTCATAAACTTATTATGAATTTCTTAGGTTGCACACATACTGCCAATACGAAAAATTCATAAACTCATTATGAATTTCTTAGGTTATACACATAGTGCCCATTTGGGGAAAGCAATACATACATTAAGCAAAAATGCATCTATAACTATCATAACATATAAATACATAATAAATACACTCACCTGGTTTGCCTTGCTATTATGCCCAAAATGTAAATCCTACTAATCGACGACTTTATCCTTGCCTTTCTGTTTGCTTGACTCAGAAGCTTGATTACGATCTACATAAGCATTCATAATCACACACACATATAATACAAATGTTAGTATACTTTCTAACATTTATATAAAATAATAATACTAAAAAATACTATTATTCTCGAATTCTATTAATGTTCATCCTAACTTAAAATTTTAGACTGATTAGTATCGATACTTCTATACTATGGTACCGATACTTCATTCAGTACCGATACCATTTTTACATTATGGAATCCATTTCTCAATAATAGTATCGATATCTTACTCTTGGTATCGATACCCCACTTCAGTACCTATACTACTTGTATAAATATCGATACTGTTCATCGTGTTCATCATTTGTTTCCTTAAATTTAACCCTATATTATCGGTACTATTCTTCCAGTATCGATATCTTTACCCAGATTTTAGATTTTTCACTTCGATTTTTACCATATTTTCACCTAAATCTCTTACTTTAATCTCCAACCATACCATTAAACTCATCATTACATAATCCCACTAACTTACATCTATAAATCTTCACATAACATCCAAAATCTCCGAAGAACACTAAAAAAAAGAATCACACCAATATTTTTAACTTGTTTTTTTATCACTTTTAAGGCTCCAAATCTCTTATTCACTTCTTTAACAAGTCAAAAATGTCTTTAAACTTCCATAACTAACCATATTTCATCAAATCATTTAAAAACCCATGTTATTCAATCTCAAATAAAACCTTCATTTCTTAGTTTTAATCCTCCTTGAACTTTCCTTAAGCCTCTATGCCACTTAAGGTTTCAAAACCAAACCAAAAACTAAAGGAAAACCCAACATTGAGGAAACATTACCTTAGTTGTGGAGGGCACAGGATGAAGAAGAAGAAGAAGAAGGAGAGTAGAGGCTATTTCCTAGACTTATCCTCTTTTCCCCTTCTTTAACCCTTAATAAAATGAATATTATATGTATTTCCTTTTAAAAGACCATAATGCCCCTCCATTTCTTCCATTTTTACTAATAGATCTTAAACATAAATTCTTAACTAAATCCTTATACTTTTCAATTTATTCAAATTAACCACCAAAATTTTAAATCCTTTTACTATGGTCACTGACCCGATAATTGGGGTATTATAAGTACACTTGTTACAAAATTAAAGTTGATGCCTGTTTTAATAGATCGAATTATGAATCTACAAAGAATAGATGGAAAATGTAAAGAATAGATTGATTAGGAGAACAAATGTGAAAATAAAGACTTTGAAGTTAAGTCTGATGGATGTTTGTATTATCAAGGAATGATCTACATATTACATGATGAGGAGTTGAAGAAAGAAATTCTTTCTTAGGTGCATTTCAGTCCATTGAAATTACATCCAAGCGGAAATAAAATGTATCAAGACTGAAAAAGTCGATATTAGTTGCTAGGCATGAAAAGAGTTATCACTGAGTTTTATTCTAAATGCCTGACATTTCAGCAAGTAAAAGTAGAGAATCAAGTGCCTTCTGGATTGTTCCAATCGATTTATATTCCTCAATGGAAATGAGATTAGTAATGATGGATTTTTTTAATTGGATTGCCTTTGACGCTCAACAAGAAAGACTCGATCTGGGTGATTGTGGACAAGTTGACAAAGTCAGCACACTTAATCCTAGTTCAAACTGATTACTCGATGGATAAGTATGTTGAGTTATAGATCAAAAAATTATAATATTTCATGGAGTACATATCTAGATCATTTGGACAGAGATCTATGGTTCACTTCAAGATTGTGGAATTAAGGTCGATTTTCGATGTTAAATCAAAATTGTGGAATATGGTGACTAAATTGCAATTTTTGAAAATTGCAAGGGAAAATGTGAAAAGTGGATTTTTATTTTGTCCATATTTGGCTTTGAATGACTATAAGGACAAGAGGCATGGTAATTTTGTAACACTGTATACTCGATCTAGGAGACCGACCCGGGTACCTGAACATACATTCAGTTCCAATTATGTTGGACAAAACAAAATCCTAAATCATGCGAACTATACGGAAGCTTA